AGTAAATGAGAAAATGCATGTGGCCTTGCTTAGTATATACAGCTCAGTACAAAAAAGGAACAAACAGATGCTAAATATTTTACACAACACACCTCTCTTTTACATTCATAATTACCTACATTACATTGGAGTTATTTGCCTGTCTTTCATCTCCCTGCCTAAATTCTGATTTCATTAAGTTTGGGAATTATGTATAATTTATCTCTGAACTCTATCCTGGCCCATATGTGCACATAGATTGTTTTATCTATTCCTATAAATTTATATTTTTATACACTTAACCCACATATATTTTTTATACTACATTTATATTTTCACATACATTTATTGTTGTTTATGTTATTCAAACTGTACTGATCATTATACTACAAAATATGGTATAAGTGAAATACACAAGGGCTGTCTGGAAAATATCCAGCCCTGTATGTCTCTGTTTTTCATAGTACATGGCTGTATAGTATAATTAGTATAGCACAACTGGACAACCCTCCTATAATTGTAATCCACATTTATTTTTTATTGCCTAAATTAATACAAAAGTGAGGTGTGAACATACAATCATGAATCTCACGTTCTGTGGCTTGTGCGACTTAATTAAAATTGCATTGTTTCCTAGTTTATTCCTCCCAGTCTATTCCTTTTTCTAGTAGGAAAAAGTAGCATAGAAATTCTGTTCTGCTCTTCTAGGCAGGAACGTTCTTTAGCTTGGCTAAAAGCAGCAAAATGAATCCAGTCAGTTTAGTACTGAGACCAGGCACTTCTTTTCTCATTGGGAGGGTTGCTGGGCCTCACTCAGAGGCTGTGCAATACATTCTGGGTTTTCACTGTGGAAGGGGGACCCTCAGCATTTTCCTGCTCTACCTGCAGTGGTGTCACACTAGATGCATCCCTGTGCCTACTCAGTCACCCCAACCAGACCGTCATTAGAATATAAATATGGCTTTATGTTTCATTAGTGTTTTTCCTTAATTCTATCATATTAAGTAATACCTCACCAAGTAATTTCTGTAAGCCAAGCTGTTTCCATCATCTTTAAGAGAGAGTCCAAATTATTTGACCTACTAAAAGTTGGTTGTGTAGAGCAAAAAAAGCCAGACAGACCCAGGAGTGCATATTGAATTATTCCATTTACATAAGATATTTTTGAAACAGGCAAAAACTAATGCATTTGTTAGACGTCAGGACAGTGGTCACCTTAAGTGAAGGTGGTAACTGGAATAAAATATGAAGTATATTTCTGGTGTGTTGGTAATGTTCTGTTTCTCGATCCAGATGCTAGTTATGTAGGTGTGTTCAGTTTGTGAAAATTCATCAAGCTTAAGATAGATGTGCTTTTCTGTAAGGATATTTTATTTCATCTTAACAAAAAACTGGGCTCTTATGTCACTCCTCCCTACAATAAGTGGGAAATTAGGAAAACTTGCAGTTTAGGCATGTTTTAATCAAACTATGTGTTAATGTCATTTTAAAAGCTTTGTTCTGTCTGTGTCTTATTTTCCTTGAAGGGGAATGGCAATATACTTTTATTGCACAGATGTCCTATGTGCATTTTCCCCCAGTCTCATAGATTAAATCTATGAACCAATCAAGCTTAAGGAAAAGTTATAAAGAGTTAAATTCTGTATTTCCACCTTCTTTTCAATACAATAGCCTCTAAAGAAAATAATTACAGAAACACTGGAAATGACTTCTCCAGAGATGAGAAGGTACAACGTGCATTTGGGATGCCAATTTCTGAATTCCCTCCTTCAAGAAATACTCCTATAATTTGGAAGAAATGCAAATTAACATCCTAGCTCCAAGGATCAATAACTACAACACGAGAAGGACAACAGGCAGAAGAATGAATGTCCTCGGTCTTAATTTCCTAGCAGGAAAGAACACACAAAGAAAAAAGGACTGAGAGCGCTGGGCTCTCTTGGAAGCCATGGAAAGACCCCTTTCTGCTACATATAAATCAAGAGAAAGCTAATACAAAACATTAATTTGATATTATTTAACCTCCTTCACCCTAACTATTTAGGCCCAGGAGGAATTTCCCCTACCCGGTGGACCCTTGGGTGTTCCTCCTCCAAAAAAAAGCTGCCTTTCCTATTTAAAATGATGATCATAGCTGTTCAATGTCTGATAGCCTGACTACTATTAAAGCCCTTGAGTGGAATCTGAGAATCAGAGAAAAAAGATGCTCTCTCCAAAGAGACCTAAGGTGAACCAAGAAGAGAGAAGTTATCACAGCAGCAGTTAAATTTAACTACTCATACTCCAGGATCTGAGCAAGAAAGTAAAGAAATTACCAACTACCAATGAGGAAAGGAGTTTTTGGAAGTAACTGGGCAAAAAGTGTCCCCCACCTTTGCTTTCAAAAATAGTATAAGAGCTAGCCTGGCTGCACAGACAATTAGTGAAAATATATGAAAACTGGAGTAAGTTTAATAATGATCCATTTAACTTCAGCTTGTTCTAGGAAAAAAAAAAAAAACAGCGTATAATAGCACACTCTCCTGTCTCTAAATCACTACAGAATAACCTTCATTGTGGCAGATCCTTTTATGGCAACCCTTTGCAGGTTGCACCTGCTTCACACACCACCATTGGAAGCAAACTTTGAGGACAGAGAAAAGAAGAAAAAGGAAGATTTAAACCAATACAAATCAATTTTGTACCAAAAAACAAAAAAAAAAGAGTTCCCAGTTTAGTCTAAATAGGGAGGTCCGGTGAGAAACAAGACAGAGGGGAAAACAGACGTCTGGCTAACTCCCAAGGCAGAAATCATGACTCATCAAAGCTTTCAGAGGGGACAGAACTGTAAGCAGACTGCATTTCTCTTGAGTTCACCTTTGGGCCAAGAAATGCTCTCTGAACTGGGAACTGGGACTCTTAGGTGTTTGTTCTGGGCCTGCAACAACCGGCTGTGAGACCTTGGGCAAAACCCCTCAAGGCTCTGTGCCTCGGTTCTCTCATCGGTAGTTAGGTGATCACCAAGGTCCCCTCTAGCTGTAATAGTCTTTCTACACTTGAGATTCGGGGCCCCATAAATCTAAAGGGAATTGGTCCACTGGGGGGAGCTGCAGAACCTCCCTCTACCCACAAACTCCAGGGCTCCAGGGCCCCAACTCTGGGGAGATGCTGCTGTCCTAGAAGAAGGTGGCTCTCCTGGGGAGAGCCAGCTGCAAGAGCCCTCCCCCGTGTAAAAGGGGGGGCCCGCAATTGCAAGAGTCCAGTTCCCGCGGACTCTGCTCTCTGCAGTTCCGGAAGTAACTCCCCTTCCCTGTGCCCCGGGTTTAGATGCTCCAGAGATGAAGGCCAAGGTGACTGATGCCAGGAAAGCCTAGAGGAGTTAGGGGGTGGGAGGCATAAAGAGAAGGGGGCCTGGAGAGGTCGGGGGAGGTGCAAGGCAGAGAAGAGGCGTGCAGACCAGGCAGGAGGGGGGCAGCCTTTATCAGCTCCATCTACCCCACTAGGTTGGCCCCTGGAGTTGGGGGCTGGGGCCCCTCAGCTCCTGGCTGGGAGGTAGGGGCGGTCTGCTGGCAGAGGCTACGCGCACACGGGTGCCTGCGGCTAAGACCCCGGCACTCCCCCACTCGGTCTCCGCCCCTAACCCTCGGCCCGTCTGTGCGAGGGAAGGCAGCAAAACAAAACAAACTAGTGCCGGCTTCCTGTTGTGCAACCGAGTCCTGAGTAAGTCGAGGGCCGAAAGGGCGCCACAGCCTAGGAAGCCGGGGTGGTGGGGACCCTAGTACTGCCCCGCCCAGCTGGAGCAGGAAGCCACTGCGGGCCTGCTGCCCCCAGAGAGCGCCCTGGCCCCATCCCCCTACCACGCAAGTCCTAACCCTCTGGTCTCCTTTCACTTCTCCAGTCCCAAACGCCCCCCAACAAGTCATAGGGCGCCACCGGTGGGGCCAGAAAGCTTGCCGCAAAGTTTCTCCCTCCAGGTACCTAATTGAATCAGGCATAGGATGACAAGTCATCCAGGGCCAAGATTTCCAGACACTTGGGTGACTTCCTTTTCCCCCCGAGGTGACTTGTCAGCTCCAGTGAGTAACTTGGAACTGTCGCTAGGGGCAAGGTGTGTGTCTAGGAGAGAGCCGGCAGCTCACTCACGCTTTCCAAAGAACAGCCCCTGACGACTTCAAAATACACACAGGGGTCATTTATAGGGACTGGAGCCCTGCGCAGAACAAAGTCTCTGAGACTGAGACATTTTCCAAACAGTGCTGACATTTTGTCGGGCCCCATAAAGCGTAAACGCAAGGTGACGAACCCGGCGGGGAGTGCTGGTGTCTGAATGTGTCTGCTAATTTGCCGCGTGGGAAGTTATAGTTAGTTACAGATTCTGTGGCTAAGCGTTGCTAGACCGGTACGGAGACAAGTATAGGTAACCTGAGCCCCATGACCTCCTGGAGCTATGAGGACACCGACTTGGGTGAGAACCAAGCGTGGAAAACAGCCTTCGTGGAACTCCACGAACACGTGGAAAGAAGCAGCCACAGCTCCCGTGTGCGCGAGAGACCTCACGTCACCCCATCAATTCCCACTTGGCCAGAGTTTCCCTTCGGTGGGGACTCGGGGATGGCGTGCCCCGTGCCAGTGCTAACTGTAACTTGCCCTGATTCTGTAGCCCTCTGGCCCCTGTACTTTAAAAGGAAAACAAAAACTCTTCACAATTGACCAAACTTTAATACCTTATTGATTTCCTTTGCGTCTTCTACTCTGGGCGCCCTTAGGCAACTGACAAGAACACAGTTTGATTCCTAATTGAGTGGTGCTATATACCTCAATAAGCACAGGTCTCTAAATGACCTAGGAATCTGGGGGATGGGGTGCGCGCGTATCCTTAAACCCGCGCAAATGCGAACGCCACCGGCTCTGCGTGAAAAACTATTTCTAATCCCTAGTTTGAGTCTCTCCGAGCTGTTCCTCCCCCTCACACACACACACTCCTAAGTGCTCTTTCTCCCAGTCTCTCGCCTGCAAGCAAAGTTCCTATGGCATCCACTTACCAGGTAACGGGAATTTCCACAACAAAGCCGGGCTTGCGGGTCCCTTTCCCCAGGCAGCCTGTGAGAGTGACAGCGGGCTGGCTGGGGCTGGCGCTGGCGAGGAGTAACTTGGGGCTCCAGCCCTTCAGCGCGCTCCACCGGCTCTGCCTCCTTCGGAAATGAAAACTCCCATCCAAGCCCGGGGACGAAGCGCTGAAACCCGGCCCAAGGGCAGTGTGTGCTCGGGCGTCTGCGAGGGCAGTGGCGGCAGGGGATTGGAGGCAGCAAGGGGGTGGTTGGACCCTAGGCATCAGCTCATTCTTCCCCGCTACACACGTACACACGCAGATAATGTTTTTAAAAAGTTCAGTTGCGACTTTGTGCCTCGCCTGTCCTGTTCATCCTCGTCTTGGGCCGGGGGATGCGTCTGGGGGCCGCCAGGGGATGCCGGCTAAATGCTGGGGCAGTTCCGTCGGGGGAGCGCCGGTGAGACCCTGGACGGCTGCGCTGGGGATGGAAGGCCTGCAGGGGGTACGAAGAGGGGCGGCGCTGGTGGCACCCAGTGCCCGTGCGCGCCGCACTCTGGGCTGCCGGGGCGGCGCAGTGTGGACGCGGCTTCAGGGAAAGGGGAAGGGGGAAGAGGGAGGGAGGGAGGCGGCCCGGCAAGGAGTGTGGATGTGTGTGCAGCCGGAGGGCCGGCCTATAGCCAGCTGCTTCCTGAGTGTGAGAGCTGGAGGGGGAGGGGACGGGGTGGGGGCGGGCTCGCCGGTCATCAGGCTGGCCAATTCCAAGGCCCAGTTTGTGTCTCCCTCTGGACGCATTCGCACACGCGCTCCCCGTGGGCCGGGGACTGGAGGAACTCCCGGAACAGAGGTAACAGCGGGGAGACACTTGGCCTTCTTTCTGGCCTTATTCATTAAACTAACTTAAACATGAAAAGTATCACTGTTTGAACAAGATTTGATGTCAAATCATAGAGAACAAGAGAAAAAAAATACCCAGTAGTAAAACAGACAGCAGAAACTAAAAAGTGTAAAATGGCAAGAGTTTCTCCAATATACAGGACTGAATGCGCCGGACAACTTCCAAACTGCATGAATGAAGCACAGGGATGCCTTTGGTGTCTTTTCAAGGCACAGGCAGGAAAGGGGAAGGTGATGGAAATGCTGGGAGAGTGAAAAGTTCTGAACAAAGGCTTGTAGGAAGGGAAGCACGTTCCCTGCACATGTTGCATCTGTATATGGCATTTTCTCCTTAAGAATTCAGCAGCGTCTGCTTCATTCCCACCCTAAGTTGTGACCTTCCACTTGGCTTGATAAGAGCCCTCAAAAGGTGGTCACCAGAAAGCTTGTTTTTGTGGTGGGTCTCCACACAAAATGGATAAATGAATGTAATGCACACACTATCCTCCAGTGAGACCTTTCTGTAGTAAAAGTATTTAATTCACCCTCATGAATGAAACAAATGGGGATATCACAAGAGATGCTTTTAGAATTTCACCAGTCCTTATATTCTGTTCTTCTGCTCTCACTCAAATATAAATTAGCATTCAGGTAGTATATGCCACGATCAAAATAGATGCCCTCAAAGCTACAAATGACTTATTCCAGTAAGCCAAATCAAAAAGATGGTTGGCGATTTTCCTTTATCTTATTTAGGCAGGACTATTACTACCCTTGAGCTGTCTACGATGTGAACATCACCAAAAGAAGTTTTCCCAATACTTTTTCTTATGTAGCTGTGTTATGATCCTCTTTTCCTTCTCAGGACACAGACTTATCAGAATATTCATTGTCAGAGTATCTGTCAGCAGTAGATGAAAGGAAATAATAGATGCTTAAGATAAGTTATTCTGTCAGTTTTTCCAATTTTTCTCTCTGCTCTTCATCTCCTTTTAAATACAAGTATCCACACCCAAGACGGCAACAGATGAATTCAACCACACATAAGAAAATACTCCTAACATGAAGCATACAGCAGCATCACAAAAACAAAGAAACCAAGTCGTGGAAATTGCCATAACTATTCCATTGTGACTAGTTATTGCAACATGTCTGACTTTCACATAGAAACTCCTCTTCATTAACTCCAGCCTTCAGGAGCAGAGCAAGATGGGAATACGGACCCTTCCACACATCATGGGAACTTCTGTTCTTCATACTTTTGTGCTGTACAACTGCTCCCCAGGAACTTGTTGGGAACAAGTCCTGGGTGGAGGCTACAAAAAAACCTTTCCAATGTCCCTCAAATATCATTTTAAATACAATGGTTATGATGCATGAAATCGTGTCCTAGAATCTTGCAGAAGCTTCCAAAATTTCCTACTTGGTGGGAAGAGCTTAGCTGGAAGAGAAAAAAAACATAGTGCTACACCCAACTTTAATCAATGGCTCATGGAAATAAAACAGTGGGAAAGTTATGAGTCATCAACCTGAAGATCCCCCAAATCTCTTCATTTATAAGAGCCTGAGGACAGGAATGTCATTTATTTAGGTGTGATTTTCACGAGCCTCCAATATCCCTAAGACATCTACCACTAAATAGGTACAGTGCTTTGTTTGAATGGGGAGGGGGGCCATGGATGTAGATCTGTATTCCATGGAATATAGTAAAAAGGCAATTGATGTTCTTCTACAAATACAACCCTGGAGTGACTCAGAATGAGATCTGTGCCTCTTCTGGGCTGACTTGGTCAGCAAGGGTGGGGGAGGGGGAGTAATGAGAGACAGTGGGAAAGGAAGTCATGTAGTTCAGAAATAATACTTTCCTCTCTCTGTGAGCTCTCCATTATGCTTAGGAATCACACCCTGGCAGCCTTTCAGCCAGATAGATGAGAACTGCAGCCTAGTCAGTATCTTCACTCTCTTGAGACCTATGTTGTATGTGCCTCAACCGCTGACTCAGGGCAGCTGACTCAGCAGACAGGACCCTGCTGCCAGCTAAGTCCAGTTCTCATGCAGCTGAGAAATATTCAGTGAGTACCTACTCTGTCCAAGGGACAGGAATTAACATTGGTAAGGCCTTGCACGTGGGAGGATGTTACATAAAGCTTTTTGCTTAGTGCCTGGGCTATAGCGAACCCTTGAGAAATGGAGACTCTGTACCTATATTATCTTACCTATTCCTCAGCTCCAAGTTCTTTCAAAATTGCTGTCCTGCAAAATAACTGCATGCTCTTAGCATGTGTGCAAAGCATGCTCCAGGTGCATAAATTGCAAGGTAGCTCGTGATTAATGTCAGATGAGCATAGTTAAACATATAGGGATATGGAGGAGGCAGGAATAATGTACAATGTGCCATAAAATAGCATGGCCATCTAAGGTAGACATCAAAGAATGGGTGAAAAAAGGAGACCATTCCAAGTAGAGGAGTTAGTGTCAAAAGGGGCATAGCAGGCACAGATCAATCCTACAAACAGCTCACTCAAAGCTACAGTACAAAATAGGGCTATCCGATCTCACCACTAGAGCAAAGGAGTACTTCTGGAAGGAGCAGCCGAACAGCAAAACTTCAGAATTTGTGTCAATCTAAGTGATCTGGCACCAAACCATTTACAAAAAAGTATGATCAGAATCCTACGCTCATAAAGTGTCCATCGAGAGAAACAAATTTGAACCCCAAAATGCAGATAAGTCACAGCATACACCAATGATAGCATGCTTAGCTACTGAAACACACACATACACACACAAGCTGGCAGGAGTCCAGTTGTGTAGAACTGCAGTGGAAAAAGTCAGCGTTTGCCAGCTTTAAGAGGGGAACTAAATGTCTAAGCTGGAAAGTTTCCATTTTACCTTCCTGAATGAGAAGTACAAATAGTGGAATACAGCAAATTTCACATTATACTATCAGGATGTGGTATCTTAATAAGACTTAAGTTCTTTCTACTAATTGGCCGCAAGTACAGTCACCCCAGACTTTCTGGTTCACACATCAGTGATGCAGTTTTAAAAAAAATTCTTATTTATACCTATTCATTCACAGCATCCTATCTTTTTTCCCTCCTAAGGTCAAAACTAGAAAGCAGAGTCCAGAATGTATCACACCAAATGCAACTGACCATGATGTGAAATCCTTTACTCCATACACTGTCTCTCAATCTTGTTGCATTGGTAAAAAATTTTCCCCCATTTATATAAATCCAGCTAAAATGCACCTAAAATTCTATAAATGTTCATGGGATATGTCTTGACATAGTACTAAGGTGTATATATTCAGAACTTACCAAAATGAAAATAAGTCCATAGATACAGACAATGTTCCACAGGCAATCAATTACTCTTTTAACACTTAATATTCATCCTGAACACTTACATATGGTGTTGTGAAATTAATTACCTAATCGAAAAACTAACTTATCTATAATTGCCTTTTAGTAGCTGGAACTTAACTTCTCTTCAGAAGCCTTTCATGGCCTACCAATAGCACTGAGCACTTGTAAATAACTGTTTATGAATGGATTAATTAATGATTAAGTGAAAGAATGGTTTTCCTACTCTCAGAGATGGTGAATAGCACTTATAATTTGTCTCTGTGGATATATCTAATCACTTCAACACTCCAAAAGAGTCTAAACACTTGTCCTTTTCTTTCTATGCCCCCAAGCTGAAGACTAAAATATTATTTCCTATTTCTGAGAAAGAAAATTCAAAGTCTCTATGCGATCAATGTTTAGCGTTAGGGGAGAGTCGCCCAATGTCCCCACCCCAGGATCCCTTCCCTACCTGACACCCAAGCTATCTCCTTCACACCAAACCAAGACATTTAAGAAAAACATATACCAAATGATGGGGAAAAAAGAAAGAAAAGAGAAAGAAAACACAGAATGAGAATACAGAAAGGAATGTAAATTCCTTATAAAAAAAAAAAAAAAAACAAAACCAAAAAAACGGGCAGAAATGAAAATGGCCAGACAGCATTAGGACATCTTCAGGATAATCAAGAGCAATAAATTCATTTGGAATTAATTAAGATATGGAATTTTAGTGATTTGGTGGGGCTTTTTAGACTCCTCCCCAACTCTCCTTAAGTCTTAAATATACCTGCAAAGGGCTTTGAACAAACTTGGAAAATTTCTACAAACTCTAACTGTCCGTGATGTTAAAGCACTTAAGAGGTTTTCACATGTAGGAATACATGCTTCTGCTCTCCTTTCACTCTGTAGAGAAGAGGAAAGTGCAATTTTATGGTTCATTGACCAAGTGACCAATTGCCCCCCCAAGCAGACCTGCCCTGGTTAAGAGCACTTCCTTAGGGTCGGGGCACTGCTCCAAGTTCATTATCTATATTAACTCATTTAAGTTTTACAACATCCTGCTGAAGTAGGATCTCGCACAACTTCCATTTTAGAAGGGAGAAGACAGAAACCTAGAAATGTGGAATACTTTCCCAGCGTCACCTAGCTTGTGTGGGAGTGGCCAGGCTTCAAAGAGAAACGGTCTCCATTATTGACCACTGCTCTATTACCCTAATTCCACTAGACATTTCTTTGTTTATTTGCTCAGGCAGCAGTATGTTAGAAGGATAGTAGACTTAGGGAC